GGGGGTGCCCTCGCCATGATGGGGGTACCCCCCGGGATTGGACGATGGCCGCGGGATGGGGTACCCCGCCAGGGATGGGGGTACCCCGCCAGGGATGGGGGTACCCCCTCCGGGGGTGGCGCTGGCTCCGGGATGGGCTTACCCTACCAGGGATGGGGGTACCCTACCAGGGATGGGGGTACCCTGCCCCGGGGATGGAGCCAGCACCGGATCGGGGGTACCCAGCCCCAGGATGGGGGTGTTCTCCCGGGATGAGGGTACCCCTCCGGGGATGGAGCCAGCCCCGCACTGGGGGTACCCAGCCCTAGGTTGGGGGTACCCCTCCGGGGATGGACCCGGCCCCGGAATGGGGGTACCCGCCCCCGGAGCCGGGTATTCCCTTGCGCGCCCCTCGCCCGCTTTTGTCCCTCCTTCCGGCACCTCCCGCGGCGAAGGGGATATTTTATTTTATTGCAGCAGCCGGGTTGGTTTTTCCTGCTTTCGTCTTGCCCGGGAAGGGCAGGATAACGCCTCCTCCCAGCCCCTGTGGCTCAGGCCGCGGGCGAGTGCTCGGGGATGTCACCCCGAGGATGTCACCCCGAGGATGGCACCCTCCCGACCCCGAGCGTCCTCGGGGTGAGCGGGGCAGGCGGCTGCTGGGTGAGTTGGGGAGCTCTCCCTGTGAGCAGGGAAGGTTCAAACCTTGTGTCGTGCCCGCTGTCCTGCCCTGGGTCTGTCCCGGTGTCCTGACCCGGCCGCTGCTTGCAGATGAGCAGAGCTTCTCCCTCCCTGGGTTATCCGTTCCAGCAGAGGAACTTGTGTGTGTCCTGAATCCTTCCGTCCAGCATCCTGCAAGTTAACCAAATTCAACCATTTTTAGCCTCTTTGTTTAACACCCCCGTGTATTACCCGGTGATTATTGTTAATACCTTGTGCTTTACCTACAACAAAAATGATTGTCAGTCTGGGTGGATAAAATGTGGTCGTGTTCACTTTAAAAGGGAAAAAAAAAGAAAAGAAGGTGTCTGGTGAGAGTAATGGCTCTGAAAGATCAGCTTTCTCCTATATGTTGCTCTTAGGTAGTTTTAGTCACTACACCTAGAGGTGAGGTTTTTGTAAGCCTGTGTTCTGGCTGCTTTCATTGTTTGCTGAAGAAGAGGTTGCCGTGCTGCTCTGTGCCTGACAAAAGTCATTAAAATGTTTCCTGAAGTGCAAAGTGAAAACCGAGCAGACCTGCAGTTTATTCATCGCCCTGGGCTCGTGTGGCAAAACCATTCCTTGCAGGAATGGAGAAATGCTCAGTTGAGGGAAGCAAACCCGTGGTGCTCACACTGCTCTGGCCACACAGGGCTAGATGGGCTTTGCATCCCAGGGGTTAACAGCAATTTTTCTTATTTCTCAAGTTCATAACAGACTCAGTTCTTTTTTAAGCCCTTCCTTGCTGTTCCTGAAGAGCCAAGCAAAGCCCTGGCAGTGTTAAGTGTTCCCTTCCCAAGTTTGTTGCCAGATGCCAAACTTGTAAAGGCTTCACTTGGAGATATTAAGTTGTCACTTGCTCTTCTTTGGCAGACTCTGTGATGGGGGTGAGAACTTTAATCTTTATTTGTATTGTACTTTTACAAAGTATGTTTGTTTAGCATTGTTCAAAATAACAAAGGTTACAGAAAACTTAGAACTCAGCAGCTTCTCAACTCTGGTATGATTTTTATTTCACCCATGTCCTAAGAAATTGCTGAATTCCAGTCCATTCTAGTACATAATAATGATATTATTTTTTTTTAAAAACCAACTTTTCTGTCCAGTCTGAAGCCTCTTTACCTTCTGTGTGATTTTTACAGCAGATTTGCCTGTGTTGGAGGTTTGTGTCAAGGTCTTTGATTTTTTTATTTATTTATTTTTTTAGTGCAGCTGCATCATATTTCTGCAGCAAGAGATGCAGGAGTGTTTATCTGGAATTTAATTGCTGAGCTAGTTGCTGGAAGTACTTACATGGCCTTTGAGGAAGGGGAACCCTATTAAGATTACTTCTGGTGATGTCAGAGGAAATAAATTCCAGCCAAATACTATTTGGAAAAAGCACTTCCAGTTTGGAGCACCTCATCTGATTGTTAGCTCACTGGGCACACAAAGTGGAAGTCCTGCTTGTTCATGTCTCCAGATGGAAGGCAGGTCGTATTTCAAGCTTGTTCTGAACTATTGCTTAAATTTCTTGAGTTGCTGATTTCTCTGTGCCTTTAATAAAATTCCAGGGGCAGAATACTCAGTTTTTTAGAAAGGCTGTGCTTGTGTTTCGCTGCAGGAAGGTCTGTGCTGTGTTGCTGCTGAGACTTGCTCAGAAAAGCTGTTTTAAAAGGACTGTTTCCTTGCCTGAGTTTCCCCTGAACCTTCCCATTTGAAACCCTTTACATTCAGAACCTCTTTTGGCATCAGTATTTTGAAACAGTATTTTGTGTGGTTCCGACCTATAAAATATTTGCTTTTTTTGTTTTTACACAACTCTGCCCAGCCAATAACCATCAAATTAAAAAGGATGGGATCTTATTGCCTTGAACGTCAGTGCCCACAGATGATGTACAATCCCTCCTTTTTATGGAAAACCTGCAGGTAGGAACACAGAATTGCAGAGTACAGGTGAGAATGGCATGAGAGCAGCCAGGGCTGGTGGATGGGGTGTGCAAAGTCAGAAACCTCATGGTCAATCCTGCATTCCTAAAATTGCACAATCAGTCAAAGAGAAGTGTGAAAGTCAAGGAAAATGGGGGGGATCTGTGGGAATAGAGGTGGTGCCTGACTCTTTTTCCTGCCAGTCCATTCAGGGTGCCCCAAAGGGGGGCCAGGGCTGCCCTCGACCTTTGCTTTGCTTGTTGGAGTGTTTGTTGCCAGTGAAGTGGAGGGCACGTGCTTTCCTGCCACGCTCATTTATCCTCTTGCCCAGAAATCCTGTGATCCCAGGGTAACTTCTGTTAATGAGGCGTGGAAATAAGCGACAGATTTTTATTTCTTTTTCCCCCCCCCTCCGTCCTCGGAAGGAGAAAGGAAAAGAGAACAGAGGTAACTGGGAGCAGAAAGTTGAAGAAGAGGGAGATTTGCTCCTGGTGAAATAGGGTGACGTGTGAAATAATGGGAAAACTCTTGGAATAGGTGAAGGTGCTGCTTGGAAAAAGCACTTTCAGGAGGAAGGCAGGTCTTTGTGAATAGGCTGTGAGAGAATTGTGCCCCCCACCCACCCCCAAAACTCTGTAACCAACACCCCCCAAGGATTAATCACCTCCAGAGGGACACTGGGCGTTGCTCCCCAGGTGAAAATAAAGTTCTTTATGTCCCCGTGGATCACACTCTGCCTCCAGCTGCCTGCTGGGTTACAGGGACTTTGTATTTTTCTCTGGCAAAATAAAAATTAAAAAAATAAACCCAGCTCCTGATAGGAACTGTGGTAGCAGTTTAGCTGATCAGGTGTGCTTGGGTGGGACACAGGCAGGGACAGTTTGGATGTGAATTTGGGGGGAGAAAAGTTGTGTTGTGGTTTGATTTTTTTTTTGTTTGGAGTGTTTGGGTTTTGCCTTGTTTGTTTTTTTTTTCTTTGAAGAATTAAATGAATAACATGCAAACAATGAAAACTGAAAGCTGGAGTAGCTGAAGAGCAGAAGAACTTTCATCTTCTTTGACAATCATTTCATCTTCACTTCTTGGCAGCTTCAATTCCCAGATGTCAGATGAGGATTGAGCAAACTCCAGGCTAGTAAAAGAGGGAAGGAAATATGTGCTATCCCTAATATTTTACAAATTAGTGGGAATCACGAAAGTTGCAGAGATATTTTGGAATGTGACCCTTTGAGCAGCACAAACTGGTGATGGGGGAAGGGAAGGAATGGGATCCCCCTGCTGTTTTCCTTGTCAGAAGAAGTTTGTGCTAATATTATATATTGATATTTGGCCGGGGTTTTTCTGTTGTTTGTTTCTAGCTGTTGCTAGTAGTTGTTGGCAAGCTGTGTATTTAGGAACAAAACACACTCTTTCAGATAGGAAACTGTTCCAGGGCTTGAAGGAGCTTCTCCACCTCTAAGAATTACATCCCTTTTCCTGTCATCGTGACCCAGCTGAGCTCATGGACACGAGTGAGCTGCTGAGTGCTCTGTTCCTCCTCACATCAGTATGAAAGATGGGGCTGGAGTTTTAAGCATTCCCAAGTGCTTCTTCTCTCTAAATCCTCTCTGGCCCCGGCAGGATGTGTGAAAGTTAAAAGATGCAGAATAGACTCGAGATGTTTAATCTGCATTTGAGTGTGGAAGAAGAGGTGGCAGCTGCTCCTGTGCTGCTTCTCCTGTAGGAGATGCACATATATAATGTGCACATATATAATATGCACGCTGAGAATTGCACAAGGGCTGCAAAAAGCAAATTTTTTTCTCCTTCAAATAGGTTTTTACTGTGTTAAAAAACCCTCTGAATGGTATCAAGTAACTCCACATCATAAGAGAAATAGTGGTTTGATGCAATGGGGTGGGATTTTTTAAACCAAAAACCTGTTTAAACTTGAGATACAGTTTGTTCTTCCTTAGTTTGTAGCTCCAGTAAGATATTCCTAATTAGCAGAGAGCTGTGCTTAGGGTTGTTTCAAGTACCTGTGGTTACACAACACACACCTTTATGGATCCACTGGTGGTGGCTGTCGACTGACTGATGCAGCTCCAGAAGTCCTGTTTGGGAATTTTGGACAGATTATGGATGCAGCAGCACAAAATTCACCTTTTAACATGATAACAGAGGTAGCAAGTGGTTTTCTGAGGCACTGGCTCGTTCCATGGTGCTCCAGTACTTTGTTTTCCAACATATAATGTGATTTCTCAAGGAGTTCAGTGTTTGCTGTGTTAATAAAGAGCATTTTACGGTGCTGTCAGGATTATCTGGTGATGTCTGGGTGAAAACATTCCTGTGGCAGTTTTCCTCCAAGTCCTGGACACATGGCAGTGGTAATAATTTTGGGGAGGTCTGTGTGGATGGACAACAGGAGGTCACTTTGTGCATTAACCTTCTGTGACCTGTTCTGCATCTCCACTCAGTTTTTATTTGTGGCTTTGGGGAGAGGGAAGGAAAAGTTTCCAAACTCTTGGAAGAGGGTTTTTCTGGAGCCATTTTGCTCCCAGTGATTGTGTGCCCTGAAGACTTGCTTTTTTCCTGAAGAAGGTTTTGGTTTCAGTCTTTCAACAGCCTTGGAGAGCTGTTTTATTTCGAGCCAGGAGATGGGATAGGAAACTTCTGGAAAAGGAAGAAAGTAGGAAACAGTGGAACATGATTCACTGCTCTTGGCCAGAAAGTGCAGTGAAGGTTGTAGCAGGATCTGTGGCCGTGCTTCCCAAACTTATATCACCCATTCTTTCTTTATTATTCTTTTTTTTCAGCGCTACTTTCCTCTAATCACGTTTTACTGGTGGTTGCTCAGGAAATAAGAGCTGCTCAGGGATTTTAACCGTGTAAAGACAAAAAAAAAAGAAAAGCCCTTTTTTTGTTTATATGAAATTGCATACGTATATTTTTATTTATATGAAATTGCTTACTTCTGTTTTTATTTATATGAAATTGCATACTTATATTTTTATTTATATGAAATTGCATACTTCTATTTTTATTTATATGAAGTTGCTCACTTCTTAGGAACTGACATGATATGGTTGCAGAGCATCATTAACCTCAGAGAACATAAAACTGCAGTGGGCACTTGTTATTGAGGAACTGGAGTGGATTTGGAAGTACTTAATCTTTAAAAGGGAAGAAGGACAAATGAGTTATCTTGGGTTTTCTAGGGAAGTGGATATTTTTTTTTTAATCTGGGAAACCAAAGTTAAAAACTGTTGCTGTTGGAAGGTGGGAAGTGCAGAGTTCAGGGTAAAATGCTGGAGATTTTTGGAGCTTTTTATGTGCCAAACTGGAGATACCTTGTTCCTGGTGTGGAAGGTGTGTCACCACTGTGTGACAGGAATGTCACACTGCTCCAGAGGAACCCTTGCTTTGGTTTTTAAGGGAGAAACAGCAGGTTCCAGCCCTCTGAAACCCCAAATAACGGGTGTGAAATGCAGAGATGAGGAGGATGAAGGAGAAAGCAGCTCCTGCCTCTGGCTGAGCACAGAGGGACGGGGTAAAATGAGTTAGAGGAAGGGCAGAAATGGGACACAGGGGTTGTTTTTAATAAATATTTCCTGATATCTGGGGTTCAGTGGCTTTGCTGTGGTTGCTTTGACACTCTGGAGCTTTCTAGGGAAGTGATTTCTCCTCAGGCTCAGAACTGGTGCCTGCAAAAAATCAGCAGTAACCAGAAGTCCTTTTATGAGGTGTGATCTTAAATTGGGCTGGGGAGGCTGAAAGGTGTGTGGAGGGGGTTGTGGTGGGGTTTTTTTTCCCCCTAAAGCTGCAGGAATGATTATTTGCATCCTCTGCTGCCTGGTGGCATCAGGGCAGAATGTCTGAATGAGAAAGTGGCTTCACTTTAGTTTTATGCAAACCCCAAGTGGAGCTGGAAGGAATAGGACTGGAATGGGGGGGAACAAACAGGAGCAGGATCAACGTGCTTGATTTGCCTGGGTTTTGTCCTCGTAGTCCAAAGGCAGAAACTTTCAAAGGGAGACTTGTAATTTTGGTTTTTTTTAGGATTTACCACCTTGAGCATCACTGGTCCATGTGATGAAGAATAGAGGCTGTGCAATAACTTGTGATTAATGGTGAAAAATGTGTAGCACGTGGCCTTTTTTGCTTGTTTTTAATGGCTGCATATGACAACATTCTTACAAATGTTTATTGCTTCTTGATAAAATTGTTTTAGGGAGTTCTACATTATTTTTAAAAATTGCTTAAAAGTTTTAGATGTTGTTTAAAAGGAAAATCCCACAGCTGCCTTTTGAAATTTTTTTTGGTCTGTTTTAGATGAGTCTTGTTCTGCTTCAGCTCTGCAAAAGAGCCTCCTGCATCTCACAACCCGATTTTCCCTGATTACCATTTAATCACTCATAGCAGAATCTTATTTTCCTGTTGGATGAGGGAGACAAGGGACTTCTAAAGAGGTTGTGGAGCAAAAGCAGAGTGAAATGAAGTCAATAAATAGTTAATTGTGAATTCAGGTGGGTCCCTAATCAGTGTTACTGGAGATAATGAGGTTCACCTCCTGTGGATTTTGTCTCCTGCTCAGCAGCTGTCTCCCATGTTCAATAGTTTGTGAAATGCTGTTATAATTGGGAGCATTTGTGTGACTTACATTGTTTGCTCCTGCTTCAGCACTAATAGTGTGATATTCAGGGTGAATAAACACCATTTATACATTCAGCACTCTTTAGTATTTTCATCCTTTGCATGGTTTTTAGAGTGGCAATGTTTTTGCTTTCTCCTTGGTTCAAATTTTCTCCTTGGTTCAAATTTTCTCCTTGGTTCAAATTTTCTCCTTGGTTCAAATTTTCTGAGTGTCTTCTGTTTGAGACTTCCTAAACATGTGTAGTCACCTTCCCTTTGCAGGTGGTAATTAAAACCAAGGTCAATAGGACCAAGATGTGTTTTGTGAACTAACTGAGATGTCTTTCCAAGGTTTGACTGATAAATAGATCTGTAGAGTTGGGTTGTTGTTTTTTTCTCTGAAGGGATAAACTGCAGATGTCCTTTTGTAGTTGCATACTAATTAACAATTAAACATGTCACAGTTGAAACCACGTGGATCCACCGCCATGTTTTGGTGATTTGGGTTGAGCCAGCAGTTTTTCTCACTTTAAAATATCACTTTGCAGTTGTGGGATTCAAATGGACTCCAGCAATGGACACCAAGAGGCTTTTAAAGAGGGTTTTTGTCCCTGTCAGCTGTTCCTACCTGCTGTTGATACAAGAGCACCTGGAGCACTGGCTCCTGTGTCTTCCATCCCATGTAAAACCTGCTTTTTCTGACATATTTAATGCTGTCAGTCTGTATTTTTTAGTGTGGGATTGGAAATTCTGAACTCCAAGAAACCCCCCAGCCATCTGGGGCCGTTGCATTGTCCCCCTGTATAATGAGGACAAAACTAATGAGGAAAACGTTGGGGAGTTTTCATCTCACTCTTGCTGCTTGTCTGCAGGTGGCAATAAAAATCATTGACAAGTCTCAGCTGGATGCTGTGAATCTGGAGAAGATCTACAGGGAAGTGCAGATAATGAAGATGCTGGATCACCCACACATCATAAAGCTCTATCAGGTGGGGGCAGTGGTGGCTCTTCCCCTTTCTCCCCATCTCTTTTGCTCCTGGATGAACTCTTCAGTGAAAGATTTTGAAGGTTTTTTAATTGTGATTTTTAATTTATTTATTTATTTTTAGTGCCTGTAGTTTGTGCAGTAAAATATGGGTTTGTTTTGTAGTGGTTTCTCTTCTGTTTCATCTCCTGTCCCTGCAGCACATGGTGAACTGTTTGGGGCTGCTGGCATTTCTGCTCCAGTTCAGTCTTGCCTTTAAGGCTTTCCTGAGATACTCCCTTTAGGATCTCCCTGTTGGGGCTCTGTTTAACAAACAGAGATAACACACCCTTGCTTCAAATAAACCTGGCTCAACAGAGATCTGGGTGTGCTAAAGCTCTGAATTTAAGGTCATCTGACAACATCTCCAAAGGAAAAATGAGCACAAGGACTTGGAGCTGTGGTGGTGGAGTTCTGGATAAAGATGAAGATCCCAATTTAACTTTGTTTTATGTGAAAGGAACTGGCATTTGATCTATAAAATATTGATCTGCCAAGCAGAGAGGGACCTTTAAGGAGTTAAATAAAATAAAGTAATATCTTCCACAGTTCCTTCTGAGTGAATGGCAACACACAAAAATGGGAGAGGAGGGACTGAGAAAAGTTAAATTAAGCCTGGAGATCAGGAAGATCATTTAAAGAGGGGGGTGATGATTATGCAGTGCTTAATCCTTCACTGTTAGTGCATTGGCTGGTTAAAAATGCAGGTTTGACAGGTGAGTTTATTTTTAAAATAGCCTTCAAATTGTCCCACTTGGCTGCTTTTATCACGTGCCCATCACTGTGCTGGGTTCCCACCAGGAGTTTGAGTTGTCTCGTGTCAAATAAAATGCAAAGACCAAATTCACTGAGGTCTTGTCCATGAACAGCTTGTGCTGGACTGTTTCATTGAGGTTGTTGAAAGAGACCCAAAATGTGTTGAAATGGTTGTGCTGTGCTCAAGGTAAATCCAAAATGGTTTTTTGAACTGGAGGATTTTTCCCTTTGGGTCAATATTTTGATTGTGCTGTTTGCACACCTTGTGCAGTTGGAAGGATGGTGATAACTCCAAGTGCAAGGCAAAGCTTCCAGATCTTTAGCAGAAAGAATAAGGATCCATTTTGGTGGGTTTTTTTGCTTCTTGCTCTTCCCACAAGCACTCACGTGTGATTTCTTCATGGACAGGTGATGGAGACCAAAAGCATGTTGTACCTTGTGACAGAATTTGCCAAAAATGGAGAAATTTTCGGTAAGCAAGGGAATATTTTCATCTTCAACATTTTAATGCACTGAGTAATTAAGGGTCTTTCTGGGTCTGTTGTTGGAGACTTAATATTTCTGTGCACTTTTGTCTGAAGTCATAATTTTTTTTCTGCTTTACTGGAGTGATTTCTCAGAGTGGCTTCTGGAATTGAGGGTGGGATATTCTGCTGTGGGTGTCTTTGCCACTGTTATATTAAGATACTTTAAGGACACTGTGACGTGTTCTTCGAGGTGTGGGGGTCAGGAGCTGGTAACTGGTTAATGTTCTTTTAGTGCCCTGTCAGGCTTTGGTGTTAAACAGCCTGGTATTAAACCTCATTGAGTCTTTTCAGCTCTGCTAAACCATCCCCTCGTGGTGCTGGCTGATAGTTCATGGGCAGGGTTGTTTCTGACCTGCTTCAGGGAGATTTTCCCCACTCAGCAGCAGTTTTGTGTAGCCATGACTTTCCCCAGTTAATGTCACTGCAATAAATAATGTGTTCAGCCCCAACCCTTCAAATCCTGTCACCTTTTGGATGATATCTTTGCTTTTAAAGATATCTTTTTTAACTTGGCAGAACACACGAATGAAAAAGGTTTCATTTGTGCTCAAGACTTTACAGATCTGGAGAGTAAATATTTGGGAAAACACTTCTCACTCAAAACAGCAGCCAGACGTGCAAACACTCCTACATTAAATATGTACAGTAACCATGCAAAGTGTGCTCTGGGTGTGCAGAAGAAAAAAGCAGCAGTTCCATTGACACTCTTCCCAGTGCTTCTCTTGCAAACTTGCAGTGACTGATGCACAGATTAACCAAAGTGACCTGAATTCTGCACTGGATTTTGTCCTGCTCACTGGGGAAGCCCAAGTCGTGTCCTTTTGTCCTCAAACTAAATTTTACCGAGGGTGAGGTTCCCTTCATAACTAGTCCTGGTGACCCAAGAACAGAACACAGTCTCTGATGTTTTTTAGACCATTTCAGCACAAAAACCTCCCTCAACAGAGCCAGACAGGAACTGAGGTGGTTTTTTTTTTTAATGATAAAGATTCTTTATAACATTTAATGTAGATTCCTCCTCTGAAATTCCAGCTGCATTCATAAGATTGGAAATACAGGGAAATCCCCTGAGAAGGGATTATTTGTTCCTTACTGAGCTTGAACTGGTGAAGGATGTCTTACCTGCCTGAACCTGAACCCAGCTCACAGAAGGTTGGAAGGGATTTGTAGGGAATGACTGTCCAGCTCTGCAGCTCATTGCTCAGGACCCTGGATGGGGGCTACAGCTTCAAGCCATCCTGTTCCAATGTTTTGACCACCTGCAGAGAAAAGAACCCTTAGGTTTAGACTGGATTTCTTGTGTTTCAGTTGGTTTCCACTGCCTTTTGTCCTTTTGCTGGGCACTTCAGCTGAGAGGAGCCTGGCTTTGCCACCTCCCTCCTGTTCAGTATTTATACACAAAATGAGGTTTCCCTCTGCACCTTGTCTTCTCCAGGCTGAGCCCCCACTGCTCTCTGAGCTCTGCAGGCCCTTAATCATGTTCATTAACCATCACTGTGCTCACTTTGGTGTGTAACAGAGCTTTAACATTCCAAATTTCACACGGGTACAAACCTAAATGAAGGACTGCATCTTAAAGCACTGACCACTGGGTTTGCAGGGCAATGCCTGAGTCACATGTTTTGAAGTAAATACACCTTAATCTTTCAATTGTCCAGCAAACAATTGTACTTTGGGCTGCTGAAAAGGCTGGACAGGGAGCTGGGGACAAAAGCCCTGCTGTGGATCCAGCTGAACCTAAAGTGTCTTCTGGTTTCTGTTTCATTATAGTCAAATGAAAAAATCCAAACCCTGCTGTGGAAATGTGCAGGCAGAGGGTGACACAAGGCTGAGATTTGCCCAAGGGGGTGAAATGTGGAGGTTTCCTGGCAGAGGTGGCTTTGCTGCTTCAGCCTTTGCAGGAGGGGTCTGTCCAGTAAAACCCAGAGCTCTACACACACATATTCCAGCAGGACCCACGTTCTGGATGTCTCCAGCAAGTTTGAGCTGTCCTGGAGTGGTTCCTGTGCCCAGGGGCTGGCACAGAGCCTGGATCCCAGTGCCAGCCTGCCCTGTTTGCACACTGGTTAATGCACAAACGGGGCCCATGCCCTGGTGGGATGTGCTGGGTTCTCCCTCTCTGGGTGCTTTCAGAACAAATGGCCTGTTCCACTCAGAGCTGGTGAAACACTGAAGGGCCAGCTTGGTTTGGGGTCTTTAAATGAGTCCTGACAGGCCAGAGCCGTAAAAGCAAAATGACAGCTTGGATTCATTAACTTGTTTGCTGCATTGCTAACAAATGATGGATTAACAGCTTAAAGAGCTGGCTTGTGCTCAGGGTAATTTAGTTTGTGCCTTTGATATCTGACTTCACCTTGATATCATATGATTTGTCAGTCACTCTGTGACTGAATGATATTTAGCTTGCAAATATTATGATCTCCCCTTACTGCCAGGCTTTTGTTTGTTCTTGTGCTTTGCCAAGTTAAACCAGCTGAAAAGTGTTTGAAGGCTTGGGTAGGTTAGAAGCTCTGAGCAGAGTTTTCAGACCTGCTGGTTCCAGGGATCAGATTTTATCCTGAAGAAACCAGAAAAGTTTTTAAATGAAAATATTGCAGACAGTTATAAAGCCCCCAAACAATATTTTAATTAAAAATCCCCTAAAACACAAGCTAACAAAGCCAGGTCTGGTATTGTGTTGGGCAAGATGATCCTGCTTGGATCACTGATGTCACACAAGTGGCTTAGAAGATACAATTAATTGCTGGGTATAAAATCCATATGCATTTGCTGCTCCTTGGCCATTCTTTATAGGATGTCAAAGGCAATTCCAAACCCATCCTAACAGTTGATTCTTTGATTTTTGTGCTCGTAAGAGAAAGAATAGAATTGACTGTAGAAGCTCTTTCTGTCAAGACTCACCCAGCTGCTGCTCCCCTTGTTTTTGTTCCTGAGCATAAACGGAGTTGTTGCTTTCAGGGCTAACGTTGGTTTTTACAACGTAATCAAATATGAAAACAAAATGTTCTTTTCTGCCTGTGACGCAACGAAGACAAGAGGGAGGTCAGGATGGGCACTCTAGGGGTACTTGTTTTATTTCCAGAAAACAAAAAAATAAATACTTTCAGCCACTGTGCAGCCTCTGCTGAGGCTTCAGAGGGAGAAGTGTGGGGTGGAGCCTGCGGGAACTGAGCAGCCCCAAGCCTGAAGTACCTCGTGGTGGGTGAAGCCAGTTATTCCAAGCACTGTGAAAATACTGCTCAGGCAGCTCTGAAAGAAGGAGCAGAGCAGAGTTTCGTGACGCATCAGCTTTTTCTTACTCTTATTTGTTTTCTTTTCTTTCCCCCGTTGTTGGGGAGGGTGTTTCCCATTCTTTCCGAGGGCAGGGCGGGAGGAAAAAGGGTTTGGCTGCGACACCTTCTGAGCGCTGTTTATTCCAGGGGAACCCCTTGTTTCCAGGGCCCTTGCTGGCTGTCCAGCCCACGTTAAGCCTGGCTTATCTCCCCAGATTACCTGGCCAGCCACGGCCGCCTGAGCGAGTCCGAGGCCCGGCGCAAGTTCTGGCAGATCCTGTCGGCGGTGGAGTATTGCCACGGCAGGAAGGTCGTGCACAGGGACCTCAAGGCTGAGAACCTCCTGCTGGACAACCACATGAACATCAAAATAGCAGGTACTCCCAGTGCAGGGGAGGTCCAGTAACTCCTTGCTTTTGTTGGGGCCGTCCCAGTCCCTCGGTTGGTGCTGCCCAGGAGACCCTGCTGTGCTTGAGGCACAGAAAATCGGTGAGAACGTGTCATATTTTTGCACTTTGTGGTCCAAATGTTTCCTGGATTTATTTCCTGGATTATCCCTGTTATGCTTTCAAGAAAAACAAAAAAGAAACAATTTTTTTTTAGAGTTACAGATGCTTTTTTGTGGGTGCCGTGACACGTCTCTGATGCTGCCAGATGTTCAGGTTAAAACAGAGTTAATCAAATAACTTCTTTCAACATTGGGGAAAAAAAAACTCAAAATGGAAGCTTATTGATTTTTTTTTTCCCCCCCTTTTTGCATGCATGATTTCATTTTAATTATAAATTTAGAGGCAGCAGATGTTGCTAGCGATGGAAATAATTTTCATTACAATTCCATGAATCCTTCCATACTGATTTTAGCCCGGCAGGACTTGGGAAAAGTAGGTAATATCTTGATTTGGGGGACTGTTGAACTTCAGACATCACTAGTATGGGAGCAGGGAGGGGAGGGGAGAGCTGTGAGGAGCTGCTTTGGGAAGGAGTGAGTTTGCTTGTCCTGAAAAGGAGCTGTGACTCCACAGCCAGCCAGGCTGAGAAGGGTAAAGTGATAAAACATTTCTGATCATTGCTGCATTATTTTACCCTTCCTGGCAATTCTGAAACGGTGAAAGGGTTTTGGTACATCCTTGAGCTTTAACCCAGTGGGTTCATCAGCACTGCTGCTGTTTGTGGGGCATTTTTCTTTTTCTCATTTCTGATTTCATCCCTGCATTCATCTCCAGGAGCACCTGGAGATTTATGGCTGACAGACAATTTATTTACCAGGACAATTTATGCCTTCAGTAAATACTGTGTCTAAGGGCTGCAAGTCACCCACTTGCTATGAGTAATGGAACTAAATGGGAGGGAATTTTTGTGCTATTGTTCGTCTGAGCTTTCCTCGCCTTCTCCCCATTCCCACCACCACACTTTGCCTCCTGATTTCTCTCCCCATCACTGTGCTGCTCTGTAGGTTGTTCTGTTCAGCCTGGCACAGTTTTTCAGAGCTCCTCAGGGCTCTCAGCCGTGCTGTATCCAGAGTTATTCCTTTCCTGGATGTCCTCAGCGCTGCAGGGACGTGAATTCCTCCCCCCCTGAGCACCACACAGGCTCACAAAAACACTCCTTCAAAGGCATCTCGGGAGACCCGTTAACCAAAGCAAGGTTAGAGCCATGAACTGCTCAGGCACAGAGAATTTCAGTGCTCAGGTTCTCCAGGGACTCAAATAAAAGCACTGATAAATGGTAGTTATGAGATTCCATCGGCTGCTGCTGCTCTTTCCTGCCTCGGCTGCTCTCCTGCTCTACTTCTCTATTACAGAAAGTTAATTACAGGTGGTCTGTATGCAAATGAGCCCATTAGCTGGCACTGGTTCTTCCATGTGTCGCTGTCAAGCTTTATCAGGTTTGCTTGAGTGATAAAGGAGGAAAGTTAAGACTGCTTGGAAACTTTGTAGTGATTTGCGCTGAGTCAGTCGTTTTGTTTTTCTCTCGAAAGGAGATAAATGATGAACTCCCCAGAATGTTTATCTGTGATTTTGGAGTTATCTGGTGCCGTGCAGAGCCCTGAGAACACTCTCTTCCAGTCGTTCATACTCTTCATGGCCCATTTATCAAAGTGTGGAAGAACAGAGGGCAGCCAGGATCCCAGCTCTGATAGCTGGAATTAGGCTCTAATTTGAATTAATCTAGGAATTGAAAAATGGCACAGGAACTGATGAATTACTTTGATAAAGCTCTGCACTGTCAGTGTTTACACGGGGTTCCAGCACTAAGCATGAGGCTCTTCCTTCCTGATCACTCCAAGCAGCTAAAAAATCCCCATAGGGGTACTCCTGGCCATTCCAGGCTCTTCCTGACTTCCACTGGTCCTCTTGATTCATTCTGGTGCTTCTGAGACTTTTATTGAAGCTTTTACTCTTGGAGGACACAACATTTTTTAGTCAGATACAGGGAAGTGCATAAAGTTACCTCTGTATTTCAGCTGCTGGGAAAATAAGATTCAAAAATAAATGCTCCTAAAACTGTGAGCTGGGTGAGACTGCCACCTTTGATTAAAACAGCAGGCTGAGCTGCAATTTAATAGTGTTAATGTTGCTCTAAAAGGAATGGGATGGATAGCATTCATAGGATCTTTCTTTTCAGTCTTAGTAATTAGCCAGGAAGTGGAGGATGTGTAAAACACTCGAGGGGAGAGCTCTGATGGACTCATTTTCTAGAAGGTATGGGAGGTGGCTGGGAGCAAAACCTTCAAACCTCAAGTTTAGCCTAAGGAGCAAAAAGTGAAGGTATTAATGAGATAGAGTGAAGGCTGCAGGTGAGGAATGCCACTCCAGGTTTGACGTGGAAATGGTTCTCCCCAGAGTTCCTGGGTTGGTCATGTCACCTTTACCTTTTGCTGGTTTTTGAGGGGATCTTAGGGACTGATTTGGGTTCCTGCTCACTGATAACACCGTGCTCTCACGGGGACACAACGTGCTCCTGGTCTGTGCAGAGAAAAACCCTGTGCATTTGTGAGGATGGAATGCAGGATGGGACACAGGGAGCTGGAGGATGGGACAGGGAGCAGCAGGAGGGGGATACAGGGAGGTGGAGAATGGGGCACAGGGAGCTGCAGGATGGGACAGGGAGGTGGAGAATGGGATACAGGGAGCTGCAGGATGGCATACAGGGAGGTGGAGGATGGGACAGGGAGCTTCAGGATGGGACAGGGAGCTGCAGGATGGGGCACAGTGAGCTGCCCTCCGTGTGCCCCCAGCCCTGCCAAGCTGCCAGGCTGGGATGCCTGGGAGATGCCTGCAGAGCTCCAGTGCCGTGCTGGTGGCCAAGGCTCCGTGTTTGGAGCAGCCCAGGTAGCAGAGACTGTTATTTTGAAGCAGGTTGTAGTGCTGGTTTGTCTTGCTGGTGGACAGTAAAATATGCATTGACGTCAGAAGTGGCTGCTCAGCATTCAGGCCGTGAAGTGGGTCAGGTTTGTGTCTGACTCGCTCCTACCTTGCCTTTATCAGCACCTCTCTCCCCATTATCTCCGTGGCTCACATTACTGCTCCAACAAAGGCTGCCTGTGGCTCCCTGCAGCCCGGGCACACTGAGCTGTGCTGGTGATTGCAGGAGAGTGGATTAATTACAGCTCCCAGGGCCGGGTCCCCTCGGAAGGATCGGGGAGGGACAAACGAGAGGCTCCCTGGTCCAGCTGGAGGGATGCACGGCACAAGCTGCAGTGGCCCTGGCAGGGAGCTCCCTTTTCTCAGGTTGCAAGCGGGGCTGGAACCTCGGGGCCGTTTCCATTTTTACCGGGAAAACAGATTCCATGGGGATGATGCGCGTTTCGAAAAATTATACCTTCCAAATTCGAGGTTATCCTGAAGGGGGTAATAATGAGATTGAGAAACCGAATGCCACAACTGTGGAGAGCCAATATTTGCAGATTGCACAAACACAGAGTTTATTCAGCTCGACACAATGCTGCAAATGATGGGATTTTTTTAACGTGCAGATTCAGGCAAACGTTAAGAAGATCACCCCATTATATAATCTCAGTCCTCTGGTAATGAGTCCAATTTCAGTCCTTTCAGAATTCTGTGGCTGGCATATGTTTTTGGGGTTTGGTTTTTTTTGGTGGTGGTGGTGGTTTTTGGTGTTTTTGGTTTTTTTTTTGAGGGCTGGCACATTTTCCCCTCAAACACCAGTAATGTTTCTCTGGAGTGAAAAAATCTGAACAGTGTTCTTAGGTTAAAAATGGCCACCTCGGATCCCCAGTGATTGTGGCAGATCAGCAACTGCAAAGTTGAAACAGGGTGGAAGAGAGAGGATGAGAGGTGGAGTGATTGTCTTGTGCTTAATTGAATCCTGGCCATTCTAACACTCCAAAAAGTGGGACAACTAAACTGGTGGTGGAGTAATTAAAAATTGAGGAAGCCCCACGGACCAAGCATCCAGCATCCTGTCTAAATCCTGAACTTTTTCTTTGAAATGGTTTTCCTGGGTGCTCTCAGTTCTCTGGAGTCCTCTAGAAATGGTTTCACGTCATTTGAAGGCACAACTGTGAAAAGCATAATAGAAACAAAAAAATGTGACTATAATGTTATGTACCCTAACAAATAATGGTGATCTTCCAGGGAATCACTTTGTCCAACAATGGAATATAATTTTAAAGATAAGAGCCAGCTGCTGGAATACAGAACAGTGTTTTTAAGCCCAGTGTGAGTCAGTAGGTATCTGCCTCTTCCTGGGTTTTGTGTTGTCAATGCACGTGGTTTGTTCAGCAGAAATTCATGACTGAAGGCCACTGGTGTTTAACTGGGCATGGAAAAGGGAAGAAATTGAAGTTTTAGAGCTGCAGGTCAAAGACAGAGGGAAGGAACCACTTTCCAGGTGCATGGGACAACACTCCTGCCCCGGGCACACAGACTGGTGAGGAATTCTGTCCTGGGTGACTTCTGCTTCCCATCCCTGCCCCAGCCCCCAGCATGTGCTGTTGCTGCTCACACAGTTCATCCTGGGCTGCTCCTTCTGCTGTCAGTTTATGGCCCTTCCACTCATGAATTTGCCTAATAAAGCTCAGTGGTCTGTGCTGTCACAAGCCCATCAGGTGCCAGCCAAGTGCTGCTCTTCCACCCAGTTAAGCACTGTCTGGGCACTGGAAGTTCTGTGAATTCTCCTGCTCGGGGAGGGAGCAAAGGGAAGAGCCTGGCAGGGATCAAATCCTTCCCTTCCAAGATGTTCTTGAGTTGCTTTTGGTAACCAGGCACTGTAAACTATTATGTGTTGTGAAATTAGTCAGGGAAAGATAATAGGAACGCACACCTGAGGCTTCTCTTGCATTGGTCAGTCGTGCTGAAAGACTCTGTTCTTTTGGCTGCTCAGATTTGTTGATGTGAAGTGATTTCCAGGTGCTCACATCCACCAAAGGGGCTGACTTGAAATCCAGCATGGACAGGCCAAGAGTTTCACTTTCCTGAGGGTTTGAAATCCTTGTGTTTCCGAGCAGGTCACGCTTTCTTTGGCTGTGCTTACAAATCCATGTACTCGTGAATCTGATACGAAGATTTATGAGGGTGGCACCTGAGTAAGAGCTGCAGTTCAGAGATAAAGCCTGATATTTATCTGCAAGTTCTTAAGAGGATGTTGAAAATCTTGACAAATCCGAGATAAGTGAAGGGAGAAATCAGATTTAATGACACCTACACGGAATGGCAAAATGCTTCTGAGGGAAGAAATTGCTTCGTGTCTCCTGAAGTTATTGTCAAGGTTGCCAAGCCAATTATGTGTGAAGAAAAGTCTCCTCAAAGAGAATAATAAGAAAAAAAAATAATTCACAACAAAAGTCTGGCTGTGATGGAGGGAGGGGAAAGGCAGGTGACACACAGTGATTGGGGGGCTTTGGGGCAGAAGATTTTGTTGTTGTCACAGCTGAAGTTGCAGCAGGAACAACTCAGCTGAGCTCAGTGTCAACAGTCAGGTTCAGTGCCCGTGTTGCTGCTCTAAAACAACTCCAAGGTGACTTTAAGCCTGGTAAGTTTTCCTTCAGTGCCTCTCTATTGCTTTGATTCCCAGGGTTCTCCCATGATGTGTGTGAGAGAACCAAATCTTTCCTCTGAGCACCCCAAACTGGGCAAGTGGGAGTAGATGAAGTGTGAGCAGAGCCTGCCCCGTGTGCAACCACAGTGCTGTCGGGTTTGCTATCTGCTGAGCAGCATTAACAGACCTCTGAGCTATTCAGAGCTGGGGCTACTAAATCAACAGCCTGATTCCTGTTTGTCACCACTGTTGGCTTTCACAGCATGGCTCCAGTCCCCCCCAACACTCAGCACTGCCCTGGTGAAAGGGGAGAACCATCAGACTGTGTGACTCTGAGCACTGGTGGCTGTCATCCTGCTTTTCCACTGCTGGGTTATTAGGAATGGTGACTAACATTAGCCCTGAGGGACCCACATATTTTATTGTGCCGTAAAAAGGAGCGTTTTAAGGAACTGTTCAGCTGTGGGATGGTAGTTCCAGTGCTAGACAGTCCCAGTAGCCGTGTCCTTCCCAGCAAAAGTCCCTGTGTTTTCCCAAGCTTGTTGCTTTTGGCAGAGTTCCTTCCTCCTGGCTCTGAAGTTGATGCTTTTGTTGTCAGAATTTTGTTGTGTGTTCAAGGCTCAGAGAGCACCTCAGGAAAGCCCAGGAAGTCTCAGATCCAGTGCTAGCTCTCAATATATCTCCTGGCAAGTAAATAAGCTCGTTTGTCTGTGTGACCGTTGGTTTGTTGAATTTTAACTGTAGTTGTTTATAAACTTGGGTTTAGCAAACTGGTGCAAGTTTACAGGTTGTGAAGTTTCTCAGTGTCTTGATAATTCCACAGTTGTCATGAAAACAGCAGTGCAGGATGGTGCAGCATCCCAGGATTTTCAGTGGGAGCCCTGAGGGGAGGATTTGGGATATAGAGCCTTTCAGGAATCGAAGTGCACGGAATTATTCTTCGTGGTGCAGCTGGAGGCTGGAGTGACTTTTTCCCCCCTTGATTTCTCCACAGATTTTGGCTTTGGGAATTTCTATAAGAGTGGTGAACCTCTGACAACGTGGTGTGGGAGCCCCCCCTATGCAGCCCCAGAAGTCTTTGAAGGCCAGCAGTACGAGGGACCCCAGCTGGATATCTGGGTATCATTATCTTTTTTTTTTTTTAACTGGATTTAATTCAACTTTTGGCAAGCTGGAACAAAGGAATCATCTTTGATTTTTTTATATATTTTTTTTTTAAGCTGCAGACGAGCTGTTTCTCCTCAGGTTTATTTCTTGAGTGTCACAAAATGCTTCTTAGCACTGAGTGGAATTGAGTTTGCCTGTCCAGGTGGCTGTTAAATGGGCATTGCAGGTGGGTGTCAGCCCACTGAGGAAAAACTGCAGCTCCTCCAAAAGCTCCCTGAGTGAATGAGGGAACTTTGCTTTTTTTCCAGTGCATTTAGTATTTTCTGTGTTAAGTGGGACTTGAACTTGGGAGTCCTTGAGGAGGTTAAAGGGACTCTCAGGCACTGAGACACAGGAGAGGTGACTCTTTGCTTTGCTTTGCTTTTGGAGCTGGAAACAAGAAGGTTTGTGCCACAAATATCTTTACTGCAGCAGCTGCCTGGTTTTGAGTTGGTGTCTCCATGTGTATCATCCTGATTGGAGAGGACAGAGAGGGCAATCCCTGCTCTTGTGCAATGGAAAAGGGACTGAAACCAACTGCAGGAGTTCTGTGCACCCTTCAGAGCCTGCTTTTCATTCCTAATTTGGTTTTGTTTGGGGCCTTTTCGGTTTTTATTTGACGTTTCTGGCACTTGGGACGACTGATCTGTATCTCAGCCCAGGCAGCACATCAGGTTTGCAGGGAGAGCACTGCCCACAGCATCACCCAGGCACTGACACTTGGGCTGCACAAACAGGGCACTTGGTGGAAAGTCACCTTTTGGCTGCTAATCTGATTTCATCTAATTGCCCTGACAGATAAAAGCCGTGCTTTTAGGGTACATGTGTTTGTCTGTGTGCTTGGATCTCCATGTATACCTGGAGAGATATGGATTTTAGAAAGACTCCAGCCTTTCTGGACCTTTAGCAACGGGTAAACACAGAGCAGACGTCAGCCAGGCACTGTTTGAACATCAGAAGGGAATCTCTGAACTTTGGTAAATATTCTTTTTATATTTAAGTTCTTAAATCATTAACAGAATCTGGCTGCCCACAGAGAAGTGGATAAAATCATCATCATCATCCTCAATTCTGTCCTGAGTTAAGGATTCTCTGTCTCTTCACAGCATTTCTGCTGAAGGTGCTGAGCTTGCAGGAGGGATGGAACAACCCCCAGTTCAGTTTTTGGCAGGTTAAGGAAGGGACTTTTTAAAATGTGTATATATATATATATTTAATTTTAAAAATCTCTGTCCCACTTGCAAAGTTTTAAGGTGAATTACCTGCTTTTTTCCCCCCCTTGAGAAATCCAGTCTGTGCCAGTGCTGTGTCAGTCTGACTGGCACAAGGCTGTGCTGTGGTTATCTCATGTAGTGGTTTTTTTGGCATATCCTGCAAGACCCTTTCCATTGGCAGTGCCAGTTAACCTGCACACTTGCAGGAATGAGCTTTGAGAACTGACCTGAATATCCCCTCTCTCTTCCAGAGCATGGGGGTGGTGCTCTACGTGCTGGTGTGTGGAGCTTTACCTTTTGATGGACCAACCCTCCCCATCCTGAGGCAAAGAGTTCTGGAAGGAAGGTTCAGGATCCCCTATTTTATGTCAGAAGGTAACTGTGTGTCCTCTTACACTCTTGAATAAATCCCAGGACAACCTGGGTTGTGTTGTGTTGCAGCTGCGGGCACATGTGGGGCTGTGCCTCTAGTTGGCCACACTGTGCATTTAAAGAAGCTAAAGGGCTTTTCTCCTTCTTAATGTGACTTTCACTCTTGTTTTGAGAGGTTGTTTGAGCCCTCAGGAGCTGTGGTGGGCAGCAGTGAGGCAGCTCCTGTTGGCATCTCTAGTGCTGGGCCCCGGGTGCCACTGAGAAATCCTTTTCTAACACTGGTAATTCTTCTTTTCCCAAGAGTGTGAGCACCTGATTAGAAGAATGCTGGTCCTGGACCCCTCCAAAAGGTTGACTATTGCTCAGATTAAGGAGCACAAGTGGATGCTTGTAGAAGTTCCTGCCCAGAGGCCAATTCTTTACCCACCAGGAGAGGAGAACGAGCCTTCCCTCGGGGAATACAACGAGCAGGTCCTGAGGCTGATGCACAGCCTTGGCATAGACCAGCAGAAAACTGTGGAGGTAAAATACACCCAAAGGGCTATTTCCTGAGTGGGGTTGGACAAACCATTAACTTGGCAGCTGGAGAGAGAGGAGGGGAAATTGGAATTGGAAGCAAATTAATTTTGAGCTTTTAAGAGGGTGGTAAATGAAAATCAAAAAGGAGCATGAAAGCAGAAAGCAGCTGAGTGTCTCTACCCTATCCCAAGTCGTGCTTGTTACCAAACATGAATGCCAGGGCTCCCCGTGGAGTTCACACAGTCATTTCCTTTAGGATGGGTGATCGTGGAGGAGCTCAGTCCTTTCTCCAGGCTCAGAGTGGCACCTGAATGGTGGCTACAATTCCTGCTGCAGCCCAGAATGTGTCACTGAACTAAACTCTGCTTTGAAACCTTCCTAGTTCAGAACAACTCAGCTTCCTCACCCCACTGCCTCTTAAATATCCCCCCCCAGCGATTCTTTCTTTCTTTCTTTCTTTCTTTCTCCCGGTCTTGCAGAACATAAAAAAACCCCAAGTATTTGGCTGCCCTCACACTCGTGTGCCTCTCTTTTTCAGTCCCTGCAGAACAAGAGCTACAACCACTTTGCTGCCATCTACTACCTGCTGGTGGAGAGGCTCAAGTCCCACCGGAGCAGCTTCCCCGTGGAGCAGAGGGTGGACGCGCGGCAGCGCCGGCCCAGCACCATCGCCGAGCAGACCGTGGCCAAGGTGAGGAGGGGGGGGCCCTGAAGGCATCCTTGCCTTTCAGAAAACCCTGCAGTTCACCTGGAATCCGCCCCTGGGATTCTGATTTCTGCAGCGTGGGGTTTCGTCCTGCTCTGCTGGGCACCCGCGTGGTTTGACCTCAGACCCCACTTCTTTTTATTCCAGTCATGTTTGCTTCCGTTTTTTTTGGTGAACTTCAAACCTTTTGGGTTAAAGAGTTAGAGGAACACCAGTTCTGGAGACTGTGCAACGCTTGGAGTATCTTTAATGTGATTCCCAAACGAGCTGTTGAGTTTATGGAGGGCTGTGTTAGCATGGGGGCTAAAAGCATGCAGGCTCCACTTAGTGTTATAAACACAGTCACTCTAAAGGGACCTGTTGAAAATAAAATCACTTTCTCCCCTGCTGTTCTCTAGCTATGCTTTCTGTCTCCCCTGAAATGAAGCGTGGCAAGGAATAGTAAAGAGAAGCCCAAAAGAAAACACATCAGGCTAAGATGCCAATTCATTGTAGTATCTTAAGTACCTGATAAAAATGTCATTATCTTGAGCCACTTAATGGCTGAAGACTGAGAGATTTGTTCCTAAATGAAGTCATTTCTTTTTAAGATTTCCACTGCTTTTTCCTCCAGCAGGAGCCCAGTTTCCTCTGTGTGCACAGAGCCAACGTGGTGACTAATTGATTTAAGTCCTGAGGATGTCATGTGTATTTTATCAAGAGCAGTTCTGGGGGCTCTTTACATCTGGTGCCACTGCATGGCTGTCCCCTTAGTCCCCTCCTAATGACACTGCCTGATTCAGCACAGGCTCTGAGGCTGCTCAGTCAGCTTCTTCCAGAAGGAAAGGTCCAATTTGTCCCAATAATTGAGATTCTTTTTTTAAATATTTTTTTAACATGTTCTTTTGTTTCATTGAGATACACAGGCATTGTACAGCTCCTCTGTCAATGCATAACTGGAACCATGAAAAACTTGGCTTAAGATGACTCAGGCTTAGCGTGGTCTCAAGTAAATACTCTCCCAAGTTCCCAGCCCCCTGGGTCCTGTGCTGCTGCTGCAGGGAGCAATTGCCCAGATTCCACTTCCACTTCCAAGAGAAATCACGACCACGCTGCTCCTTTTTCATTTGCTTCAGGCAGCGAGACACTTATTTGGGTTTGGAGCCTGCCGAGGTGAAAGCCAAACAGCCCCAGCTATGAAAACACAGGTCCAGGAGCAGCAGCGGGGCTGACAGAGATTAAACCAGCCACTTCCTTGGATGGCAGCTCTGGGGATAGAAAGCCACAGCATTCAAAAGCAAATTATTAATTGTGAGGTGTATCAAAAGCAGGTGGAGCCAGAGCAAGGAGGAAGAAAACACCTCCTGGAAGGTGTTGTCCTAAATTCCTGTACTTCAGAGCCATGTCACCACTTTTTTTCTTCAGCCACAGCCTTGCAGTTGTCCCGAGGAGCAGGATGATTTGTTTTCACACATGGTGGCACCACAGCTCCTGTGTAAGGCTGATTGTTTCCTTTTGGACAGGCGAGTGGGGTGGGTGCTGCACTCCAGGGAATGAAGGCTAAGGAACAGTGGGAAAATCACTGTTTTCCTCCTTGTGCCCTCCTTCCCTGGGACACACCTCTCCCTCCAGCAGTGCTCCTCTAAGAAAACATCTCTTTTCTCACCCAGCCTGCCCTGTTCTTCCTCAGGCTGTTCCCTGCAGGAATCAGGGCGTGTTAGAAAAGTCACTGAAACTCCCCCTGTGCTCATGGTTTGTACTGAGTGTAAAAGGGAGCTTTTATAGCCCCAAAGGGTCCCAGGCACTGTCTGTGCTGCTGGAAGGTGCTCACCTTCCCAAAGCAGCTGCTGGGATGCCATGTGGGAGTTGTCTGTGTGGGTTTTGGGGTGGTAGTGCTTTTTTTTTGTAGTGTAAAGGCTAAGGATGTCATTCCTCTGGAGTGAGGAAATAAATCTTGCGCTTCTGCTTTGGCCATGGGTGACGTGCTGTTGGATTTGTGGCTTTGTGTGGTGTTCTCCACCCAAAACTGCTCCACTTTTTGAGCTCTTCACATCTCTCCCTTTAGGCCCAGGCTGTGGTCCCCTCAGTGAACCTGCACTCACAGAATGCAAGGCTCTTGCAGTCCCCAGGTCTCCCCTCAGCCTCAGGAGCAGAAGCCTTTTCCTTCCCTCCATCCAGCTGCCAGGGAGAGGCAGCATTTATGGAGGAGGAAAGAGTTGAGACACCAAAGGTATGGCTTGAAATCACCCTGTTGTTGCTTTTTGTGCTCATTAAGGCTAAAAAAGATTGTTGCCTTTTAAATTACTGCCTCAGAGCACAGCTAATGGTGTGCCTGTTTCCTTAAATTTTAAGTATTTAAGCATCAGACTTGTAGGTATTCCACATTCTTTTTCCACTTCTCTTCCATATAACTCTCCACAGCCGTGTCTTTTTTCATCCTTAATCTGCCTCTCATGTTCTTTGCTTACATTCCAGTCTTACCACACTGTATTTGTAAAAGAAAAACCAACCTACAAAAGTGTGGTGGGTTTTTTTTTTCCCCCCATTTTCTTCTCAAATGTGTTTCAAGAGCCCTGAAGGCTCTTCATGTACAGCTTCTAATACAAAGGGGTAACTGCTGAGTATCTAAATAACCTACTCAGCTACTCATCCCAAAATTCAGACAAATGAGGACAGGAAGGTCCAATGGAACCTGAACCAGGAGCTTCTGTTGCCAGCAAAAGCAATTAAAATACCATGAACATAAAATCCCCTCTCTCTGTGCCAGTCTCACAGTAAGCCAGCCATAAGTTGCATTTTTGCTAATTTTTCCTGTGGAATGGTGAGTATCCAGCAGGACCTTCTGACTGTCAAAACCCAATTAGAACATTCCTGGAGCTGGGAATGCCTGCAGAACCCTCACTGGAGTTTGTTTCCTGAGATCAGGCTGCAAGGAAGGCAGCAAAGAAGGGGAGTTAGCAGTCAGGAGGGGAAATGGCTTAAAATAATTACATTTATATGAAGTATGTTATTGTTCTCATAAAACTGTTGTTGTTCTCTCTCATATCACATCCCGTTGTAATTTGAATTTCAGCATTTATTTTGCCTGGTGCCAGCTGGGGGGGGTGATTTCATGCTTGCCAGTTTGGAGCTTTTATTGCTCCCAGTTAGTTACCAACACTGGGAGTGTGGCCCTGGTTCTCAGCACTGTTTTAACCCACCCCTTGTGTGGTCTCTTACAGCTGGAAAGCGAAAAAGCAGTTCAAAGACATTTGGAAATTACCATTTCAGGCTTTATTTTGCATCCCCCTTTGCTTTACAGATGCAATTTGGCCAGAGTAGGTGAACAACTGGTGACTAGTGAGGTGTCAGATCACAAGTGACCTGGGAATATTCAGTGTTTTAAGTGTTGTAGAGCATGTCCTCCAGAGAATTCCAAGCTCCGATCCCTGTGCCATGGCAAACTGCAGGGAGCCAACTGCCCATGTGGGATTGGTTCTCCCCTTCCTTTCCAGCACTTCTGCTGCCAGATCAGTCCAAGGCATTTGAATGGAAAAGTCACAAATGGAAAGTAAGGTGTGCAGGGAATCAAGCTCAGGGATTTAATCCAGCATGTTAAAGCAGAGGCAGCAGATCCAGGATTTTCCAGTGCAAGGACCATCGTTTTACTGCTGCTCAAACCCTTTAGAGCTGTTTCTTGCTGCTGCTTTAAGATATTTCCCTACAGTGCTGCCCTATAACCTGCTCCAGGACCATTTGTTAACAGCCACTGTTGATGCAGTTGAAACTTCTTTTCCAAACACACCTGTTTTCAAAATACTAAAGAACTTGGAAGGAAATTCAGGAATGGCTCATCTACAGTTTTACACAGAAATCACCTGCAGCAGTGCCAGGTTTTATGCCAAAGGAATGTGTTGTCCTGTAAAACACGGACGAAACACTAATTACAGAACAAACTTCCTGCCCAAAACTGCAGGACATGGCAGCTTCAAACCCAAACAGGCTGCAAATGGTAAAGAGTTAGTTCATGTGCAGAAAGATTCCTGGCAAACTGATGTGGAGAATAGAACCAGAATTAAAATCCTAGGAATATTTTGGGTTGGAAAGGTGCCTCTAAAGGCCTCTCAAGTCCAACCTCCTGCTAAAGGCAGCTCTGACTTCAAAGCTGGAGGAGGTTGGTTGAAGCTTTATCAAGCTGAGTGGATCCAAGGAGGGGGATTCCAAACTTCTCTAGGCAACCTGTGCTTGCAGAGGAACAACATTAATCAAATGCACTTCTGCTGGAAAGGGTGCATTTATGGAATTACTCCTGAGCACAGCCCTGCAAGAATGCTGCAGGATGGAACACAAGGCTGGCTTTTCCCAGAGTGTTTATCTGAGCATGATAAACGAGCACAGGAGGTATAGTAAGGGGGAAGCAAAAGTTATTGTACATTCCATAGATGTTTTATACTTGTGGCTAAGCTGGCAAAGTTTTGAATAACTCCAAGAAAAAACCCAAACAATCAAAAAACCTGAAACAAACCAACCCCCTAAACAAACAAATAAAACCCGAAACAAATGAAACACCCCAAACCCAACAACAAACAAACAGAGAAACTGAAAACAAAACACCAGAGCAAACCATCAGCCCTGGAGAACATAATAGAGTGGAAAGAAGAGTATTTAGACTTAGGGAGTGGAATATTAAGGGCACACCAGTGCTGATCCTACACGGGGGACATGGTTGAGAATCGTGCATGACAAACAAGTCTGACTTGACTCAGAACATCACAGAGAGGGTCACACATCTTAAACACCCCCCCCACCTTCAGCCCACACCCCAGGCAGGGATTTCCTGCCCTCTGTGCCCAAACCCAAGGTGTCCATGTCCTCCCTGTGCCCCCCAGGTCAATGGATGCCTGCTGGACCCCGTGCCCCCCGTGGTGATGAGGAAAGGATGCCAGTCCCTGCCCAGCAGCATGATGGAAACGTCCATTGATGAAGGGATAGAGGCAGAAGGGGAGGCAGAGGATGACCCTGCCCAGGCGTTTGCAGCCCTCCAAGCAGCTCGTGTTGGGAAGAGGCGTCACACCCTGGCAGAGGTCACCAACCAGCTGGTGATGGTGCCAGGCACAGGTACAGAGCTCAGCAAGGGCATCCCAGGGCTCATTCCCTGCTCTCAGCGCTCCATCTGATAAACTGATGGGGAAAAACGTGGGGGTTTAAGGGTGGCAGGTGTAAGATAACAAGTTTTGTGGGTTTGTTACTTGGCATTTGCTGGAAAAGCCAAGGGGAAGAACAGCAGAACACCCCAAAACCTGCCATGGAGAGGGTAAAAAATGAAAGCAGCAAACACACAACTGGCTGAGCTCATGTGCAAACCCAACAGCCTGGCAAACTGGCTTGTTCTTTTTCACATAACTGAACATCACCAAATCATTCATCCCCTGAAGATGTGCTGCCAGAGGACAATGGGGAAACAGAAACCTCTGGGTTCCCAGGTATTCCAAAACCCAGCAGGATGAATAAGCCTTGCAGGCTACAGCCTTGCCAGGATTATCTGTGGGGGGGAACAAAACCAACCCTGAACACTTTCCAAACAAACCAGTGAACATCTGCAGGGTGTCTGATTGCTGCAAAATAATGCAAACCCCAGCAGTAAACCCCCATTCTGATCCTACAAGTGTTACACGACAATTATTTTATGAAACTTGATTTTTTTTTTTGACTGTTTCCTCTAAGATAGTCACTGTTGGCAGGAGTAGCTCGAGCCTGTACTTTGTTAAATTACTGCTGCACTTGCCTTTTATTCTGAGTTATTGTTTATTGTGGGTTGTTGGGTTTTCTTCCCCAGGGAAAGTGTATTCCTTGGATGAGAACTCCTCCCTGGGCAGCATCGACTCCGAGTACGACATGGGATCCATCCAGAGGGACATTAAATTCCTGGGAGAGACCCCCTCCCTGAAGGAAATGGTGCTGAGCAACCAGCAGGCCCCCCGGGTGACCCCCCCTTTCATCGGGCTGAGACCTGCCAACCCAGCCATGCAGGCCCTGAGCTCCCAAAAAAGGGAGGCCCACAACCGCTCCCCCGTCAGCTTCCGAGAGGGACGGAGGGCCTCCGACACCTCCCTCACACAAGGTAATTACAGCTGCTCCCACAATTCATTATAATTGCACCTGGACACGGTAGGGAGTGTCCTCCACGCAGGGAAGCACCACTGTGGGACTTGGTTGCCCCTCATCTCATGTTTCAGTGTTCAGTGGACATGAATTAATCTGATTTTCTGACCAGGGGTTTTTTTGCTCGACTCTTCTTCCCCCAGGAATTGTAGCATTCAGGCAGCACCTCCAGAACCTGGCACGAACCAAAGGAATCCTGGAACTGAACAAAGTCCAGCTGCTCTATGAACAGATGGGGTCAGAAGAGGAGCCGTCCCTGACATCAGCTGCCACCCAGCTGCAGGAGCTCATGAACAGCCCTGCACAGGTACTCAGGGCAGAAACCAAGCTCCACCTTCCAGGTGTTAACACTTTGGGGCAGAGCAGGAGAGGATGAGGTGTTCCTGGGACCTGAGAGGAGCTCATTTACAGATAAGTTTCCCTGTTCTCCTTTCCTGCAGCCTGGAGAACGAGCCTTTGCCATCCTGGTGCTGTCAGTGAGTGGCCCTTTCAGCTACCCAGACCCCAACATCTTCCTCCTGCTTTTAATCTGCAGGGTGTTGTAGATTTAACAAAGCCCAGCAACACCTTTCCTTGGTGGAGCTGGGCTGGTATAATTGCAAGAAGTGCAAAAGCCTGACTTGCACAGTGAAATGTTAAATACATTCCCAGGTGGAACACATCAGGCAATCAGGAATATAGTGACTGGGAAACCTCTGGGGGAGCTTTTCTGGGGAATTTTCTGGGGGAATCCTCGAAGTAAAAGGGTTAAAGCCTTTTCTGGACATGCAACCTGTTCCTGTTCTCTCTGCAGGAGGAATCATCCCAGCAGCAGCAGCAGCAGGAGGCTTCCCCTGCTTTCCCTAATGGTGCACATCCCCCAGTGTTGTCCAGAAGGCAGAGCCTGGAAACACAGTACCTGAAACACAGGCTGCAGGTACCACCCCTGCCCTCCCCAGACTGACCCCAGCTGCTGGTCCTGCCCAGCACACCAGCCCTGGGGCTCCTCTTAGGAAAATCAGTCTCAATCAGCAGAAAATGGCTGAACTGGAAATTATACTGTATTTTTCTTTTTTCAGACACTGACCCTGATTATGCAAAGAGTGTATTACTGCTGTTTTCCTACTCTGCTAGTGTATAGTAACTGCTAGGAATACATATTAGTAGTGTAACACCCCATAAAGGTTGTACATCAGCACCTGAGCAGCCACTTCTTAACCCCCCTTACAGTTCCACGCCCTCCTTTATTTTAAACCCATTTTTGTATTACTTTAGTTTACAAAAACTTGATTCCCCTCCCCCCCCAGTTTTTCAACTTGCAGCTTCTCTTTCACTTGGGAATAAATCCTTCCCTGGGTTTTTATGCCACAATCTCTCATGCAAAAATACTGTCTAAGGGTTAGAAGCCAATAAGCAGCACTTGTGCTGGGTTTAGATAGAGGCTCTGTTGGCAGCTGGATTGCTCTGCCAGAAGGGCAGACAGTCTTTCTCTGGCTTTCTGGGCTAATGCATTAAATCAAATGCCATTAAAACCAGCCCTGCTTGCCTTGCAGAAGCCCACTCTGCTCTCTAAAGCTCAGAACACTTGCCAGCTCTACTGCAAAGAACTGCCCCGGAGTCTGGAGCAGCAGCTACAGGAGCACAGGTAAGAACCTTTCCAACGATGCAGACAAGTCATTCCTGCCCTCAGGAGCAAGAAAAGGACTGGAACAATCTCTGTCCGTTTAGAAATCATTTGAAAGAGGAAAGCTTCACTTCAAAACTTGTAGTAAGGACACAGTCCTTATTTTAAAAGGGGGGTAACAGTCCTGCCCTGTCTTTCCAGATTTCTGTGGCTAATCTTCAGCCCCCGGGTTCCCCAGGATAAAATACAAAGTGAATTAAAAATAGAAAAGTGAATTAAACCATGCACGGGGTTGACTTAATGGCACGGGAAGAATTCAGTAGGTGATAGAGAAGGTGATCAAAAGGAGATCTTTGCACCTTTGCCGAGGGGTGACAGCTCTGATGGGCTGTGAAAGGGAAGGGCCAGGATTGTTCCAGGATTTTTCAGTGTTGCCCTTCCCTCCCTGCTGGGGCTGTGTGAGTGCCCAGTTTTCCATGTTGCCCTTCCCTCCCTGCTGGGGCTGTGTGAGTGCCCAGTTTTCCATGTTGCCCTTCCCTCCCCGCTGGGGCTGTGTGAGTGCCAGCCTGCAGGACTCGTGCAGGCTCCTCAGGGTCTCCAAAGGCAGGGCTGTGACTGCGTTTTTGCCCCCCTGCTCCAGGTTGCACCAGAAGCGGCTCTTCCTGCAGAAGCAGTCCCAGCTCCAAGCCTACTTCAACCAGATGCAGATCGCCGAGAGCTCCTACCCGAGGTCAGCCCAGCTGCCCCTGCCCTGCCAGGAGGAGCCCCAGCAGCCCCAGCAGCAGCAGCAGCCGGCCCAGTTCAGCCTGCAGCAGCCCCTGAGCCCCGTGCTGGAGCCCTCCCAGGAACAGATGCAATACGACCCCTTCCTCAGCCAGTACCAGAAGGTCCCTCTGGACCCGCTGCCCTCCCAGCTCAGCAGCTCCTCCAGGCTGTCCTCGCCCGTGCAGGTGCAGCAGCAGCCACCACAGCCCTTACAATATTCCTATCAGACTTGTGACTTGCCCGTGGTCCCCTCCTCCGAGCCAGACTACCCCGAGCAGTGCCAGTACCCCCTGGACCCGGCCCCCCAGAGCAGTGTAGCATTGCCTGACAGCCAGGGCAGCTCTGCCTCCCCCGAGCCCCAGCCCAGCTACGACCCCCTAACCCTGGCAGAGCTGCCTGGACTCTTTGATTGTGAAATGATGGAGACTGTAGACCCCCAGCACAGTGGCTACGTCCTGGTGAATTAGTGCGAGACGGGACGGACGGGAGAAGCATGTGAGTTTTTGGGGGTTTGTTTTTTTTGTTTTTTAAGTTCCTACCCCAGAATTCGTGGTAATTTTTTTAAGCCCTTGAATTAGCAGGGGAACTAAAAAAAAATCTACCTGGCTGGAGGAAAAAAAAAAAAAAAAAAAGGATAAAAAAAAAAAAGAAAAAGCAGGAGGTCTCAAGAGGTGTTTGGCCACTGGCTCCTCTGGCAGTGGCAGGGGCTGGAGAACAGAGAGTGCAGCTTCATCCCACAGAGTCTGCGTAGAAGGAGGCAAAAAAAGGTGAGTTTTAGAGGAAGGAAATAGCCCCTTCTAAAAAAATTGGGGAGTTGGTCAGCGTTCATCCAACATTCACCTGGAGGAAGGAGAGCGAGCGTGCACTGTATCCTACTTCTTGGCAATAAAAGCAATAGTTCCCATTGAAATTCAGGGTAGATTTGGGTCTGCACTGATGGCAACATGAGGTGGAAATGAGGGAAAGTCGCACTTTGGCATCCAGCTGCTGGTTAAGCTGCTGATCTGGAACTGCTCCGGGGTAAGTCCGAGATCACCGGGTGTCTCAGGCAGCCTCCGCTCCCTCCTGCAAGCAAACAGTGTTTCCTGAGCCTGCCAAGGAGCTCTTCTGCTCCAGGAACCTGGATCTCTGCTGTGGGACACCTTGACCTTGTCAAAAGATACCTGGAACTCACACAGGGCACCACAGAGGTTCGTGGAGACCTCTGGGTGGGGATCAGAGTCCTGGAGGATAAAGGATTTACTGAGAGAGAGACAGAAGGTGAGAAGGACCAGGAGAGAAAGCAAGAGCTGCAGCCAGGGGCATTAAAAAATAATCAAATCCACCTGGGTGGCTTTTGAAATCACCCCCTTTTTGCAGGCAGGCCTTGAGGAGGGCTCTGTCCTGGAGAAGTTCTGGTGGCTGGAAAGGATCCACCTGTCCTTCGGTTGCGTTTGGAAAAACAAGCAAACAAACTGTGTTTTGAAATTTGCAGTATGTGTTGCTGGTGGTTTGTTGAGCTTTGTATATTTGGACAATTAATTTAGGGTTTTAGGACTTAAGGGTAAAAACAATGAGCTAAAAAAAAAAAGCAAACAAAAAAAAACACCCCTGTGAAGTGATAGTGCTGTGCCTTTTTCAGTTCTTTATCAGCCTATATGCTTTTTTCTGAAGAAAGTAGACAATACCCCATTTATATCCTTGCTGTGGCCAAAGTCCCTTCAGAGCACACGTTCCACCATGTGGGACATGTTTAACTTTCTCAGTGTTTTAATTGCTCGTGTATATAGAACGTTGAAAGTATTACAGCAATATTCAGCATCAAACTGTTGATGTGTCAACCATTTCAAGGAAACACTCAACTCAACAAGCAGTTTGTGTCTCCAGAGCTTTCAGTCACGAAATCCGAATCACAGGAGGATTTGCTTAGGGATCTGCAGAAAGTTGGGATCTCCACTCTGGGGTTTGTCTCCAACCTTTCAGTATTGTGGGACACGGCAGGACAGGAGGTGGACAGTTCAGCCCTTTTCTGAGCAAACATTAAGCACAATTGCAGCTTCACTAAAGCACAAAGGATGAGAGAAACTGTGCTGATCACACACGGAGAGAACAGCCAGTGCTTGCTGGAAAGCTTGGTGAGCTCTAAAGGTCTTTGATGCTACAAATCCTGAGGATGCAGGGAGGTGGATAATCAGCATTCACAGCAATAAGACCACATTTAAATGTGGAACAGAAGGACTTCAGTCACTGTGTGTGAAGGAGGGAAGGGTTTAACAACTGACAGAAGGCACCTGGCTCCCTGTGTGCTACAGAGAGACGACTCCTGTTGCCTGCTCTGGTGCTGGTCCAGGTGTGCAGCTGGACTCAATCCTCAGCTTCTACCTCCGATCCCACAGAGATTCTCAAGGCAGCAGCAAAGCAGAGCTTAAAAAAACAGGGATCACATCCTTGCACTACTGCTGGGATGCAAGGTAAAGAGGGCTGGAAAGCTCCACTTTCAATAGCTGAGGGGGAGGAGGTTTTTGTGGTGTGGTTTCCCTTCCAAAGGGAACTCATCCAGTGCAGTCAGTGTGACACCCCTGTGCCACTGCACTGACTGCCAGAGGGGAGGGAACCAGCCTGGAAAACCTGCAGCATGACAGGCCAGGCATTGCCCTGCTGCAGAGGGAGAAAAAGGGGAAACAGAGAGTCCTGTCCTTCCATTCCTCCTTCCCCACCCCACAGCATAACCAGCACGGGCTGGGGGTTTAGTGTCTCTCCCAGTATTGGAGGACCTGAGCAGTAAAAGCTGCCCCCAGGACCCCTCTGCTCCAGGAGCTGGGGCACTGCCAGAGCTGCAGCCACTTCCTTCCCCCTCCCACTCCAGGATCCTGCACGTTTCAGGACTCAAAGGATGAAAATAATTCCGTTCTGGAGTTCTGCAGCTCGTTTATCAGGATGTGCCAACGAGTCTAAGCTCCTTTGAGCTTTGCAGTGCTGGGCAGGGGGAACCTACAGTATTTTTTAACGTAGTTTAGACTGGCTCTTCCCCTCAGCCAAAAGCATATTTAACATTTCATGTCATTTCCTTTAAGCCAATTAGACTAAAAGGCTTCTAAAGCCTTCTCATACAGAGAGTATCCATTGGGCACCACTTCTTGCTCCTTTGAAGTGGCTTTTTTTGTTCAGATCTGTCCTGTCTTAACATTAGAGAACTGTGTACACTACTGTTAGAGTAATTACTAGCTTTATTATCTTGTATTACAGACTCCTTTGAAGAGACTTTGGTGTGATGTATATGGGGTACAAATTTCATACGGAGAAAAGTGCAATATGTGTGTGTGTGGTATGTTCTTTAACGTATTTTTTTAAGGAGTTAGAGGGTTTAGTCTCTGCTTTGGGATAAATGCACTAGTTTTGTGAGCTCCAGTTTGGCAAGTTCATCCGTAGTATTTACATGCAACTGATCTGCTGGACTCTGTAAAGCAGTTACAGTGTATTAATACAAAAATAAAGAATATGTGCATTTCATTTTTAAATTTCTAGTGAGCTAAAGCAGCCCCTGCCGCTCTTGTCTTCATTTTAGTGAAGTTATTTTCTCTGTGAGGCAGCAAGCTACAAATGACAAAAAAAAAAAAAAAGAAAATTAAGGTCTACTGGATTTTCTAGACTAAAGTTTGCTTCCCATCATTCTGACATACTTGGGATAGTTGATAGCACTGACTTTGGCCAAGCTACGAATGCAAAAAGTGTTCGTGCTACGAGATCTTTAATTAATAGAAGATTCATTCAAAATTGCTTAAGATGAGGTCAGAAACCAGCGGTGCTGGGCCTCACCCCTGCAGTGAGCTCAGCACTCCCAGTGCTTCTCCTGTGGCTGCTTCCCACACATCCTGCTCCTCTGCTGCCTCCTGGAGCTCCCAGCACGGTCCTGGGCAGGGCTCCAGGCACGGAGGGTGACGTGCCTGCATGTCCTGCTGGGCCAGAGACGTCAGCAGGGAGCACGAGGTGACTGCAGCTGCACAGGGACAGGGGCTGTCACCCCCCAGCACAGGGAGGGCAGAGCACTGTCCCACACACAGCCTGTCACTGCCCCCAGCCAGAGCCACCCAGAGAAGGTCACACCTTCAGGGCTTACCTCATCTGACCTTCCAAGCTGTCTGGAAGACACTCCCCCCGTTCCCCTCCTGCCCCCCAAGTGCAAAGGCTGAGCCATCCTGCTCGGTGGGACAGGAGGAATCCATCCCCCTGCCCGGGGTGAGCTCTGACTCTCAGCCTGGGTCAGAGCCCGTAAATCCCTGCGGAGCTGCAGAGCACAGCATTTCCCTGCTGGGCCTGGGGCCAGCAGAGCTTTCCTTTTCAGTGGGATCTGGCTGACAGTGCTGGTTCAAGTCCCTGGCAGGGGGATTAGCAGCAGGGCTGTCACAGGAACACAACAGGCACGAGGCAGGGGCCGATCCCAGCACGGGTCACTCAGGGGGTGAGGGCAGAGGGCACAGAGCCCTTGTGCTGAGCAGGCTGGGGCAGTCCCAGGGGAGCTCCAAAAATGGGTCTGGGTTCAGTGCACGACATCCCTGTGGGTGGGAGCTGCAGCCCCTGGTCACCTTGCACCATATCCCAAACACAGCCAGGATGAGCCTGGAAAAGCTGCATCACCTCTGGTACAGGGCAAAGGGGGAAAATCAGCTGAAGGAACAGGGGAAGAACTGGTGCATTAGAGAGTGGGAAGGGTGAGCATCTAGGAGAGGACATAGCCCCAGACAGCAAATATTCCCCTGTCAGCTCAGAAGGACACAACCCCCCAGCCACACGTGGTCCTGTGCACGTAGGAAGGAACAGGATGGAGACACGTGGCCAAGAAAGCTCCAGCAGGGATACAGCCAACAGCTGGAAGGCTCCACCAAGGTCATGTTCACATCCAAAAAAACCCCCCCAAGGACTCAGATAATTTATCCCCAAGGTGGACAGTGGGTGACCTCCTGAAAGGGTCTCAGAAGATGTTTCTGAGGGAGCTGACCCAAGAGAAGCTCTTGCTCATGGAGCTGCTGGAGCAGTTTCAGACATGCAGACTTGTCTGATGATGAGACATGGTCTAAATACCCTTCCATGCAACACATAATTATGTGTAAAATCTGTAAAATTTGTGTGTTTTTTTAATGAGGGAGTAGAACATCACTATTTAATCATTTGTAAGGGCTCACTATACACGAAACTGAGGAACATTCAAGACTGAATATAAAACCGTAGCAGAAATTAATTCTCCCCTCTTCCCTTTCTGCCTCCACTGCTGGACAAAGTGAAAAACTGGAAAATGGGGCACAAATTCTACAGCCCTGACCTTGATGGGAACTCTGCCAAGCAGGTCACTGAGTGTAAAGAACTGCAAGTTAAGACAACAGAAGTGCTGTGGGGGTTTCTGCTGATTCAGATTCTTTCCTGATGGGAATGTTACATTGCACGTTTGGAAGGGGGGGTCAGATGGCAGGATTTCATCATTTTAAATGTGATGAAAAGAACCCTCTAACTGGGTGACTCTCACAGGGAATCAGCTGTGAATCACAAATCAACCCGGCTGGAAAAGACCTCTGAGATCATCC